AAACAAATATCATATATATTACATAATCGTCAATTTGTATGGAAAAAAATAATGATTGATTTTTCAAAATGTTAACACCTAAATAAATAAATAAATAAAAGAACATAAATTGATGAAAAAAAGAAAATGACAAAAAAATTCATGAATAGTGTTATATAATTTTCAGTTTATGTGGAAAAAGTAACAATTAATTTTTTAAAATTTTAACGCCTAATTAAATAAAAAAAGAACATAAATTGATGGAAAAAAGCAAAGAAAAAGAACAAAGGAAAAAAAAAACATTAGTATTGCATTAGTTTCGGGATTAAAATTTTTATTTTAAAATTTTGGAGGCCAAAATGAAACAATCTGAAAATTAAAAAAAAATAAATAAAGAATCCTAAATTGATGGAAAAAAGCAAGGAAAAAATAAACGATTGAATTTTTAAAAATTTAACACCTAATCAAATAAAAAAAGAGCATAAATTGATGGAAAAAAGCAAAGAAAAAAAACGAAAAGGCATGATCGGTGCATTAGTTAGGGGATTAAAATTTTTATTTTAAAATTTTAGAGACCAAAATGAAACACTCTAAAAATAAATAAAATTAAATGAAAAAGAAGCTAAATTGACGGAAAAAGACAAAGGGGGAAGAAAAATAAAAGGCATGTATTCAAAACAACTTGAAAAAAAGAAAAAGAAAAAAAAAGGAATATTGGTGGAACAAAAAAAAAAAAAGAAGTGATCGGGGTTGTATATATTATATAATCGTCGGCTTGTGTAAAAAAAAGCAACAATTGATTTTTTTTTAATTTAACATCTAATTAAATAAAAAAGAACATAAATTGATGGAACAAAGGAAAGGAAAAAAAAAACAAAAAGAAAGGGCATGAGTAGGGCATCGGTTAGGAGATTAAAATTTTTATTTTAAAATTTTAGAGACCAAAATGAAACAATCTAAAAATAAAAAATACCTCAATTGATAGGAAAAACAAAGGAGGAAAAAAGATAAGGCATGTATTCAAAACAAATTGAAAGAAAAAAAAAGTGAACAGTGGCATGTATTCAAAACAAATTGAAAAAAAAAAAAAGAAAAGAAAAAGTGAACAGTACCGGAAACAAATTGAAAAAGAAAAGAAAAGAAAAAATGAACAGTATCATAACCAAAAAAAAAAAAAAAGAGGTGAACATGGTTGTGAATAGTCACAACCTCACCTCCACCTATTTTAGATATATAGTAATGGTAATGGTAATGAGTTTTAATTTATGCCTAAAAGACTTTGGATACTTCATTTTAGGTCCCTTAACTTTATCACTAATTACTACTCAATCCCTTAAACACAAAACTTTTACACTAATGTCATGCCATGACTATATTTAACTCACACATGTACTTTGGTCCTTTTATGAACAATGCAATGCAACTTCTAATTATGTTTATGAATGCTATTATACATGCTAATGAATGTAAGTATAGATGATGAATTTGGGATAAGGATGCTACGGCTATAAGGTAGATTTATTTAAAATTTTTGAAATAATCTCTATTTATACTATTTTAAACTTTTTTGTTACCACCATTATATAAATTGTTAAAACTCTTTATTTTATATGGTTGAAGAAATGAGAACTCTAAATAACTTATCATGCGATGCATGCTAGTATTTTCTATATTTAACATTATAAATTTCAAAATTGTAGTGCAATGTATCATTAAAATTGTAATGATTTATTTCATTTTGTAATTTTTTTTACAATTTTTCATTGAATTTCTTTTCCAGATATCATGAAATAGCATACACATCAATATTTAGCATACAAAATTAAGAGAAGTTCCTCAAATAATGTGTGCGTATTAAAATATCTATTGTGATTACTTTTTGTCACGTATCATTAAATAATATACCCACCAAAAATTAATGAATTGAGCAAAAAATATATATATATAAAAAAATAAAAAATTAGTAACTAAAATAAATAAAATTAAAAGTGAGACATTCAAATAGAAAAAAATAATAAAAAAATTACTAACTAAATATGTAATTATTTCAAACATAGAAACATATTTTTATAATGGGCCTCCAATAAGGTAACTACCTCAAGCTTCTTTTCTTTACATTTTTCCAAGAGAGTTTCTATATTGGCAACCTAAACTACAATTGGAATTAGTATTTTTCCACACCATATCCCCAAATTATCTGTTTATGGATTTTTCAAGAAGAGATTTTTTCACATTTGAATTTTGTATTTTCTTAATTTTTTTAATCAAGACCTTCTACTCTTTTTTGACTTAATTAAAATCTTCTATTCTTTGACATTTTTTGCTTAAGACCCTTTGTTATAACGTCACCAATTAATGATCAACACTTGACATTGTAGAATAAAAAATCTTGAAAAGTAAAGGTGGCATGTTGATTATCGATTGGTTGCATTATAATGGGGGATCTAAAGTAAAAAAATTTGAAAAATAAAGGGTCTCAATCAAGAAAAAAATAATAGAGGGTCGCAATAAAAAAAAAAAAAACACTTTGAAGATTGTTGGATCAAAATATAGGGGAAAAAAATCCTTTTCCAAGGCTAGAAAAATCTAAATTCAATTCATAGGTTCCATTTGCTTAAACTATGCCATCACCATCTCTAATGAACCGAGTTGCATGTGTTTATCATGCTGTTTTGTATATTCTTCAATAAAAAGAAGCAAAAAAGAAGTATGGGAGTATAATCCATTGATCATTTTATGATTTTTTTTTCTATAGCTGACTTTTTATTGTATTAAGACTAATTGGTTACAAAATAGTCTTCCATCTTGTTGATCGTTGATCAATCTTAGGTTACAAAAGAAACATGTGAAACTATTAAAACAACAATATATGTATTGAAAATCCTAAACATAAGACCCATGTAGTTTTTTTATGGCTTCACTTATCTTTCATGTTACATGAGATTGATTAACGAGACAAATAACTTAATTACGGATAAAAAAAAGTTGAGAATTGAAATAAAAAAGTTAAGAATTTTTCTTCTATTAATTAATAGCTCAAAATACTTTATAACCAATTAGCTTTGTATTAATAGCTTCAAAAACTGCATATTTAAACCCGCAACGGGTCAATTATATGTGTATTTAATTTTAGATAACTATAGTAGTTTTTCAAGTAAATGTTGATTATGGATAGTACAATTTTATGAAACTCCTTGGATGAGGATGCTTGAATTTTTATAGTGTTGTTTAATCTCTTTCTAGGGTTTTTCTTTTCCCCTAATTGCTAAAATAGATTATCCCCACGATTTGCCAATTCTCATTGTTTGGAATACTTGAAAGTTTTGATGAAGAAATATTTTGAGAACCTACTTCAATTCAATTCTACCACAAGAAAGAAGGTATGAAACATTAAGGGCATTGAATTGCAAGAGCTTACCAAGCAGAATATACACAACCTCACGTGTTCATGTCTCAATAAAACGTGTTACAAACCAAGCATTAATTAGATAGATGGCATGTTTCTCGTTTAGGTTAATGCGATGACATTTCATCATGCATGATCTGGGACCAATACTCTTGTACGAGAACTAGCTAGCCAGCTAAATATGTCACGTACTTCACACTCTGGCCTCCATTAATCACGGTAATGGAATATTTCGAAGAGTAATTTATAAACGAGTCTCTTTATTTTTTAGAAACGATTTAATTAATTAATTTTTTTTTGTTAAAAGCGAATTATTTAGTTTTTTAAGCATCTGATCATGTTTAATTTAATTGTTAATTTGTTTAAAAATATAATATTATCTCATCAATTCTTCTATATTAATTTTTTATTCGAAAAAGAATATAAAAATTAATTCATTAATTAGTTTTTGAAAAAAAAAGTTATAAAAAAATTTAAAAATATAATAAGGATTCAATAATCAGTTTTTAAAGCAAGAGAGATTTAATGAATTTTTTTCTCGAAACCAAAGGCACTAATTTATAATTTACTCATGTTTCCGATCAAGAGTAATTTTTCGGCTGCATTGTAGAGTAATTTACGCAAGTCTTTCTTGTCAAGTACTTTCATGGATTAATGAGGCTTGAATGTATAAAATTATGATCTGCAATTAATTAGACACAATATTTCTGAGTTTAATTAAGTATTTGATTATTGGTCTGAGTTCAAATTAAAACTACACTGATTCGTGTATCTGAAAAATACAGAATTTATATGATTGTAATTGCAATAAATAAATAACTTCCACAGACCAGAGTACATAATAAAATAATGAAACAACGGGATTAACTTATATTTTAGGATTCATTCTAAAAAATAGTATATTTTTTAAAAATTAATATTTTTATTAAAACATTTAATAATATCGTTCTTTTTTCTTAAATAGAGAAGGGAATTTAATTATTATTAATATTGATAATATACTATATATTAATATTGTAATAAGGGTACAGTAATCAACTAGTCAGTACTGTAGATTATTTTAAAATTTTTAATTTTTTAATTCAAATCTTGTATTTAATTTTTTTCTTTATGTTTTCATAATTTTTTTTACTTGTATCCAAAAAATAAAGTTACAATTAATTTATTGACTTGTATAAAAAATAAAAAATATATATTCTTATTTAATGTTAGTGAAAAGATTTTTTATTTTTATTTTTTATAGTATATGCATTTGATTTATGTATATTTATTCACATAATATCAATAATGTTAACATATAAAACCTATATTTGAATTATTTTATGATTTTTAAAAAATATTTTAATTATTTTATTTAAAAAAAATTGGTTTTATAGTATTAAAAAAGATAATAGTAAATAATTAGTATTATGTGTAGATACATAGTTAATTTTCAATAATATCTATTATTTAATATTTTTGTATATCTCATGATTATATTTAGTAAGTTGAAAGTGTATAGTATAAAACAAAAACATTTAAAAAATATATAAATTATCTAAATATATTTTACATAGTTTATTTTTATCAGACGGTATGAGAAACACACACAAAAAAAAAATATGTTTTAGATCTTTCATAATTTTTTTCCAAAAACTTTTGTAACAAAAAAATCAATTACTGAAGGGAAAAAACGACTAAGAGAAGCTTCCTTTGGTTCCCCTTTCTCTCTTTTCTTCTCATTTTTGTCTATTCCAATTATTTTACTTGCCCCTTGCATTCTAGCACCCTCTATGGCCTGCAATTTGCACAAAGAAACAGCATTTCCAACGTCTAATTAATTACCAGTACGTCAAAAAAAATATTAATCAATGAAAGACCAAAAGAAAAAGGATTTGCAATTTTACCCCTAATCCAACAGCACCTAGACCAATGACAGCAACACTTGATCCTTTCTCAACATTAGCTTCCCTCCAAGCTGACCCAAATCCAGTGGAGAATCCACATGAAAGGAAGCTTGCATGAGCAAGATCAATACTTGGATTAATCTTGACGACATAATTAGCATTAATCACCATGTATTCAGACCATGTTGAGCAAGAGAAAATGTGATGTAATTTTAGTATATGCGTTTGGATTTGGTTCACAAAATTGTCAAAAGAAAATAAATGCAGATGAAAAAAAAATCAAGCATCACTCTTTTAAGAAATTCCATCTGTTCTGACAAAATAAGAGAAATGAGTAAAAAAGAAAACGTGGTTCTTGAAAAAATAAATACCACATCCGCTATTTGTCTTAAAAGGCTGGATGCATGATGAAGAAGAAATGGAAAAGACAAAAAAGGCCAATGGAAGCAAGAAGCAAAAATTACTGACAAATCAGGAGTTTTTTTTTTTTTTTTTTTTTTTTTTTTTAAGCTATTGGACGCACGATGCTGAAATCCGATAGAGCAAAATCATTTAAAATTTTATAATTAAAATTTAATAGTTAATTAATTTTTTAAAAAAATATTTATTTTTTTATGGATTGATTCTTAAATAAAAATTTATAATAATTTAAATTTAAATATTAATTCAGAATTCAAAAAAAAAAACTTTAAAAATATATATTTTTTATAAGAGTGTATCCAAAAAATAAAGTTACAATTAATGTATATACTTGTATAAAATTTAACAAATAAAAAAATAAATTTTTATTCTTTATGGATTAATTCTTAAATAAAAACTTATGATAATTTAAATATTAATTCAGAATTCAAAAAAAAAACTTTAAAAATATATTTTTCATAAGATTCTATACAAAAATAAAGTTACAATTAATATATATACTTGTATAAAATTTAACAAATAAAATAATAAATTTTTATTCTTATCCAATATCGATGAGAAGATTATTTTTTGAAAGTATATACATTTAACACACACACACACATATACACACACACAAATAATCGATAATATTAGTATAAAAATTTATATTTGAATGATTTAATGATTATTTTAAAAAATTATTTCAATCATTTTATTTTTAAAAATTTGGTTTTATAATATTAAAAAAATAATAGAAAATACTTGGTATTGTGTGTGTAGATGCAAAATAAATTTTCAATAAAATGAATGATTTAATAATTTTATATATTATTATTATATTTAGTGAGTTGAGAATATGCATTATAATGCAACAAGCATAAAAAAAAATATCAGATAAATTATCTGAAACATATAATGAATATTTCGTCATTGCCAGATTACATGAGAAACGCAACGAAAAAAAATGTTCCCTCTGCTCTTGTGCTTGGACTTGGTCCAGATTTGTGCTCTTAGGCTCGGTTCCAGTCTTAAGCAAGCTAGACCTGCAAAAATAATAATAATAATAATAATAAATAAAAATAAAAATAAAAATTGGATGCTACAATTTTCAGTGAGCTGTGGTTTGCTAGAAACGTCATTGAAAAAATGGGTTCTCAATTTCTAGCCTCTACAAACCTAATTTCAGCCTCATTTTTGTCCCAAAACACCTAAAAAATGATATAAATAATATCAAAAAACTCATTTAAAGGTTCAAAACTCATTTTAATATACACAAAACATACAAAAATTTAAATCAAAATAAAAAAATTTAAAATATTTCGAACTTTCGATCTTCTTCTTTATACCATTCATGGCTTAAAGCCATTACAAATAGATTTTACTCTTTAAGACAAATAAAAAGGTGACGGGTTAGACGGTGTAGGTGGCTGGAATGGCCATCACTATCCTTCTCTCTCTTTTTTTCTATCTTTTCCAATTTGTCAAGGACCAAAATGAAACACAAATGAAGTTTGAGATGAAAAAAAAGTGTTTAAAAATATTAGGGATCAAAGTGTAAAAACTTTGACAAACTTGATTCCAAATAGTAAAATGCATGGTGCAAATGAGCATAGGTAGCGAATAATAATAATATAATTAAATTTTTTATATATAATTATGGATATTTAAAATAGAAAAGGCTTAGGCTCAACTCCTATTGAGATTCAGACTTGTTCTGGGTTTGGAATAGGCTGAAAACTCCGACCCCACAGGACTCATTGCCATGCCTTGCCAGTTGCCAATCCTCTGGTTAAATTGAAGTGGGCCTTTTTTGTGTGGGTTTAGACCAAGTGGACCTCCATGCTCCATTAGTTCTCCATGAGCCCATCATGATTAGCCCAGCTCTAGTGGCTCTAACTAAAAATTCTATTTGAAGCACCCGACTCAGTCCAAGTGAACATCTTTTGGGCAAAACATGGTGAGATTTAGTGGGCTAAAATAGCAATTTATCATGGGCTGGTCTAATTTTTTAAAGGAGATAGACTAATTAATTGTTTTTTGGAACAAAAGGGACTAATTTATAATTTGCTTTTTCAAAACAGGCTAACAGATACGCTATCAGGTAGCTCGCAATTTTCTCTCCATGTCTGCTTATTCTACCATTCAATCTTTTGATCATATACAGAAGCAAGTCTGGTCCTTACAAGGTGAGGTCTTCCTTATGGAGGGCTCTTCGATCTGATTTGTTGACCGGCAACACCTTCCTTGAATGCTGAAAAAATCTCACAGTGATCATTAGACAACAGCGGAGCACACTAAAGATTTGCTCCTTCTTCCCTGTTTAATATGGAAGGCTATGAATGATGCAATTTTCAATGGCACTGACTGGTCTTGTTACCATATTCTGGGGAAAGCGATAGAGTAGTTAGAAGAGTTTGAAAATTGCAACTTGTCCTTACAATCTCACCTCCCCTCATTACAGCACCGTAGCTCTCACATTGTAGCAAGAAAAGGCCTTTATTGATTGCTAGTCTTATGATAACTCTGTTGTTCTTATTAGCTGAGTTCAAGATCATTTGGAGGGCTCAAAATGTTATTAATTTAGAAAAAGATCCTATCTTTGGGTAAAAAAGCCAAATTAATCCAGCAAAGAGATATAAAAGTTTTTAGCTTCAAAATGTTTGAAAGGATCTACATGAGACACTGCCTTACATACCATACACACTTTCATGCATAGCTATAGTTAATCAAAATACATCAACTAGAGTAGACTTAAAGACAAACTAGTATTTAGACTATATTTGAAACAACATTGGTTTGCTCGAGCAGTCTATCTTGGCTCTACCTCTGAAATCGAGCATTCATTAACTGAACATGGTTTTCTCAGGCTGGATGAATAAGTTGCTTCAATCAAATCCCTTTCATTGAAAAAACCTGGTTGTTTAGGCTGAGGCAGAGCATCATCATCACTTAACATCAGAACTACATTTGACATGTTTGGTCGATCTTCTGGATTTTCTTGCACACACAATAAACCCACGTGAATAGAACGTAGCACTTCAGATAAATTGCATGTTATAGCTATTGATTCTGTAACCAGCTCCAAAGGCCTATTTTCTTTGAACAATCTCCAAGCCTGTTAAAAAAAACCATGCAGTTAGAATAGAGTTGACATTTAGAACCAATGACCTTGTAGCTTGAACAGATTCGACTAATGTTTCTACCAGGCCTTAACGTTTTCAATAGCTTTTTAACTCCATTGATGTTCTGATTAAGATTTTGGGCTCTGTTTCTTTCAATTATATTTTCGGGAAGGGAATGGAGTGGCTGATTCATTAGCCAAAAGCAGTCTGCATAGAACCTGTGACCCTTGTAGCTTGGTTATGATCCTTTTCTTTCACTAGTTTTTTGGTCATGCAAATCGTTGTCAGTTTCAAAATTTCTACAAATACTTCAAGCAATTGAAGTGTCCAAAGTAAGAAAACATGCCAAGCACCAGGAACCTAACATATAGTTTCTCAAGAGTAAAGTGAAAAGAAGAGACTAAATAAAGTAACTTACATGCCCAAGGAGGTTGAAGTGGTGGTCTGGATGACTGAATCCTCTGTTCTTGTTTCCATTCACTATCTCTAGCACCAATACTCCGAAGCTGAAGACATCCGATTTTAGTGAGTAGAGTCCATGATTTGCATACTCTGGGGATATGTAGCCACTGCATTTATCCATGGAATAGTAAGTTGTGTTCGTGAAAAAATAAAGACAACATCATATGCTGGAGGAGACACTTACTATGTTCCAGCCACTTTATTAGTATTGGCTTCAGTTTCATTTCCTCCAAAACTTCTAGCCAGGCCAAAATCTGAAATTTTTGGGTTCATTTCATTATCCAATAAAATATTGCTGGCTTTCAGATCTCTATGAATTACTCTTAGTCTTGAATCTTGGTGAAGATAAAGGAGTCCACGAGCAATCCCATTGATAATGTTGTAACGCTTGGGCCAATCTAGTAGAAAGCTCTGTATTTTTTCTGTCAAAATATTTTCCCAAGTCAAATCATTCTAGCTCTTATCAGATTCATGGAAAGCTTAGGCAAAAAAATAAAAATAAATAATAATAATAATAATAATTTCCATGCTTAATGAATTTTTAACTAAAATTGCAAATTGTATGACAGCCTATGTGACCATGAAAGTAGAGAAAAGAACAGCAGCTGATTGTCGGGTGCTTATGGTTTGCCCTTCTCCCTGTAGCTTGTATCCCTAGTTGATCCTTTTTTCTTAAGCCACAGTTCATGGCATTGTTTACTAAGAATTGGTTTTGGTGCGTGTACAAGGACAGCCATAAAGTGCAAAAATTTGAAAGAATTTTTAGGGTTTTTTGAGAGAATCATACCGAAAATATAGAAGTCCAAACTTTTGTTATGCAAAAACTCGTAGATCAGCATCTTTTCATCTGTTTCAGTGCAGCATCCAAGAAGCTTCACTAGATTCCGGTGCTGAAGTTTCGCAACATAATTGGCTTCATTTTTGAACTCATCAAGTCCTTGTCTTGAATTCATAGAGAGCCTCTTCACAGCTATTTCTCGTCCATTGGCTAACGTTCCCTGCAGATAATCACTCAATATCATAAGCAATCATGCTGTCTTGTGGAAGTTTGGAATTCATGGTATGATGTTGCATACGACTTGCATCTGTTGTAATTCTTAAAGTATGAACGCTTTCTGAACAGTTATTGTTTTATGCTTAAAAGGCTTAGTCATGTTAAGTTTTGGAGATTGATGTGGATGTGGC